CACCTCAGTTAGTTAGGTTCTTTTATATATTGAAAAATATATTTACATCTCAGTTAATTAGATTTTATTGTATATTTAAAAATATATTCAAATTTACGATAAATGTATGATTCATCTACTATATACTGCTAAGTAATAATGTACATTTTTGATGTCCCAGAGATTTGTTGTTCTAGTTATATGTCTCAACCTGTCCCACACTATGTCTCAAATATTCTATCTGTCCTATCTATGTCCTATCAGTATCTCATCAATGTTTCATGACAACACTGCTATCAAGTATATTCAACATAATATTGAGTATATTTTCATATGTTAAGTTAAAAATAAATGTAAATTACGTTACTAATACAAAGTATCACAAAATGTTTCAAGTAAATTGAATAAAAATTTATTAGTAAATAAATAAACTAAAAGCTAAAAATACTAAAATAAGAAAATATAATTAATCATAAGTAAAAAAAAGTAACCTTACGTTATTTTTACAAAAGGAGATTGCACATAGTTATCACTGAACTGATTAGATTGTATCTAGCAATTGATAATTACTTTTTTTATTAAGAATTTAATCCCCTTTTATATACTTTTAATGTAAACTTAATATATCATATATGTTAGGTATGTCTGATATATCAAATATATCAGATATGTCAAATATATTAGATATATCAAACATATTAGATATACCAAATATGTTTGCCATGTTTGACATGTTGATCTGCATTTTCTTGTATTATATAAATTAAATACATCTATTAAATCAATCATGTTAACTGTATTACTTAAATAACTATTTATAATGCATTATGTAGATCAATTAAGTTATAATAGTTTTATTACAGTATAAAAAAGTTTATAAAGGTTTGAAAATTTAGGAGAATTAAAAAAATAATTGATGTAGTAAATAAAATACATATTATTATAAAAATGCATCAAGCAAAAATTCAGAAGTTTATTTTACTAAAAAAAATAATATACTATTCATTATTAAGATATTGTAAATGATAAAAAATTTTGATTAATTTTGATGCAGACTGGTCTAATTTTGTAAATAATACTAGGGTTTTTAGAAATTTTTTTTTTTATAAAAATTATTAATCTTATTTAAGAAAATAATTATCTTTTGAGAGATTCAGCTTATCCTATTTTATCTTTTTAATTCCATCTTTTAAAGATCCAAATTCTCAAAAATAAAAAAATTTTAATTAATTTCATTCATTTCATCAAGTTATAGTAGAAAATACTTTTAAAATATTAAAAATAAGATTTAGAATATTAAAAAATCTTGATATTAAAACAGTTAAAATGGAAAATTATTTATATATTATATAATAATTTTACATAATTTCTTGAAAATTAATAAGGATATTTGAAATATTGATAATATAGATAATAAGAATAATACAGATATTAAAAATGATAATGATATTTTAACTCATACAAGAAATTAATGATGATATGTTAAAAAGGGCTAGACAAGCTAAAGGAATTGGATTTATTGTAATATTTTTTATAAATTTTTTCAATAAATTTTTAATAAATTTTTATCAAATTGATAAATATTATTGTTTTGTAATTATTTTGTTTAAAATTGAACACATATTCAACTTTAAAATCAAATACTTATTAAACTTTAAAATAGAATACTAATCTAACTTTAAAATCAAATAGTAATTAAATATTAAAATTAAATACTAATCTAACTTTAAAATCGAACACAATTCTAACATTAAAATTAAACACTAATCTAATTTTAAAATCAAATACAATTTAATATTAAATTGAATACTAGGGATTGGCATCCCTGACTTATGCTATAAGGTATGAGTTCCTATTATAGGTTATATAGTAAAAGATTCTAGTTTAATACCTGCTAAGTACAGATTGCAGTATTAATTTACTATAGGATTTACGAGTTTAATTCTGAAAATGAATTTTATAGGATATGCACAAATTATATGCATTAAAGATCATGAACTTGTAGAATATGGTAAACTTGTGTAGTTATACAAATAACTATATTATACAGAATTAATTGAGTTTAGAACTTGTATTAGGAAGTTAGTCTATAATGAGTAAGTATCACATTATCTGTAAGGGGTCATCTCTGACAATAGGTCATAACAGATCTATGGTAGATGTTGTATAATTTAGATTGAATAAAAGTCATAGATTACAGGTAATTTCTAGCTGAAACGCCATAGTGTTTATAATATAACTAGAGTTTGAGAAGCCTGAGTTTAATTCTCAGATTGATTTTGATAGTCTGAGCATAATAATTATATTAGGCAATTATCTCAAATTAGATTGTTAAAGACTTCTCTTTCTAGTAGTTAACCAAAAATCTATTATATTATGATAACATTATGGGTTAGTCATACAACGCCTACTTTGTATAGCTTATCATGATAGCTAGTACATTCAGCAGTTCAGACTAGTTTAAAATATAGCAAAAGAGGCTAATTCTAAATATGATGTTGAACTCACATATAGATTATATATATAATTGCTTAGTCTAAATACTCTGATGTCTGATTACTAAAATAAATTCAAAAAAAATTGAACACTAATTTAATTTAAAATCAAATACAATTTAATGTTAAATCGAATATTAATCTAACTTTAAAATTAAACACTATTTTAATATTAAATTTAAATACAATTTTAATGTTAAAATTGGATACTATTCTAACATTAAATTTGAATATATTTTGATTTTAAAATTGAACTTTAAAATTAAACTTTTAAAATAGAATAATAATTTAAATTATTCTCAATCAAATTTATATGAATATCTGATACATAATCATTTATTTAACTTAAAAATTTATAATTTACTAAGCAAATAATACAAATTTTATTAAATTATTATTATTATTATTATTATTACAATTGCTATTATTATTATTATTATTATCAATTATTATTACTAAATTATTATTCTGAAGACTATTTAAATTGCATTATTTTTAAATCTAATTTCTTTATTCTAAGTTCAAATTATATTCATAATTACTCTATGTCAAATTTAATCTTTCTTTATAATGTATTAACTTTAATTCGTTTAATTTCTAATTCTTTTTTTTTAAAAATTATTTCTATTCTTAATTTTCTTTTTATTTTATTTCAAATTACTCATATTTAAAATTAAGTTATTTTTTCTAAATTACTTGTTATAAATTATTTATAGAAAGAATAATATTAGCCAATAGGTTTTATATAGAACTTTTTTTTAATACTTTGATTCTTTTTCAAACTTTTATCTTTAATTTTCTTCTCTTCTTTATTTTTTTTCTTCAATATTATTAAAAATTTAGTATCATTAAAAGATTATCTATTAAAAATGATGGATTATAAATTTTATGAATTCTAAATAATCTGTCAATTCTTTCAAATTATTTCCACTTGACTTATGCTGCTTCTCCTATTTTATTATTTTTTTTAATTTCATTATACTTAGTTATAATATAAGATAATTAATTCATGATTTGTTCTCATAATTTATCTGAAAAAATTTGAAAAAAACTTTTTTAGTAAAGTTTGCTTTATTTTTTTGTAACTAGTAAAATTTTTTCTCAAAAAAGTTAATAATAATGTTATATTTTCGTCTTCCATCCTGTATCATCTTTAAAAATAGCAGTTTGAGAAGTATTTTTTTTAAAAAAATGTTTCATCTTTTTATTTTGTTTAGTAGATATTACAAATGCTGAAATAGATTCAACTAGTTATGTTATTTTTCTTTAATTAAATAAAAACAATTGTGAGGTAGGAATACATAAATCAGGAGCTAAAAAAATAAGAGCCAAAGAAGAAGTTAATGTAGGTATCAAAGAAGTGATAGAAGCAGATATTAAAGAAGAAGCAAAAGTAAGTATCAAAGTAGATGCAAAAATAGGGGTCAAAAAAGTGATAGTTGCTGTAGCTAAATTTTTGTAATTGTGAAAGTTTTGAAACAATTAAATGGTAAGTAATAGATTTTGAGTTGAGACATTTTTGAAATTTTATAAAGATTAATTAAGATAAATTACAAATTTGTTGTTCACCTTGATTAATTTTCTGATCGCATCAGTAGCTAATCATCTCAAGGTTAAATTTGAGATCAATCTGATACAATCTCGAATGAACAGGACTATGGTTATGTCAAAATTTTCAAGTCATAAAGTCATAAGTCATATGACTATATTGTCATATGTATAAAGTATCCTTAAACTGCAACTGTATCTATCACGTGATAAGTATTTTAAAAATATTTATTTATACATGGGGTCTAGGTAATAACCTAAACCCGGAGTCTAAGTTAAATTTTTCCATGTATGACTTATATAATTTCAGCCAGCTTTATAATTGATGATTATTATATTTTCATTTTGAAAATAAATGCTTTTGCCTTTAATAGAATTAAATTTATAATGCCGGCCTAAATTAGGTCATATGACAAAGTTATATATATACAACACTGCGTTTGCTCGGTTAGGATGGCCTCCATTTTTTTGGTTGCGATTTGTACTAACGTCCTCGTCGTGCAAGGTATTAAATTAGTAGCGAACAAGTACTATATTTTTATTGTGTTGTTTCTTTGTAAGGGTTTTTTTTTTAAACCAAAAAAAAAAGGAAAAAAAAAGTTTATTCGGGGGGTCTTCATTTTGTACTTATACCATTAAAAAATTTTGCCATCTTTAACTTGAAAAATAATGATTATTATTTGGTAAGATATTTTTTTTTTTTTGTAAAGTGAAGTTACACACACACGATAACTTTGCAAAAATTTACAATAGGAACAATCCATCTTTTTTAGATTTTTTTTCTCTCGTAATAAATTTCATCTCTTTTGAGAGGTTGATCAAGAAGGAAAAGCTATATCTGGTCAACAAATTTATTACCTATTTTGTAACGGCAATGTATAAATCTAATTGACATACAATTGTGCATTTAATTATAAATGGATTGTTTTTTTACAAATACTTAAAATTAGAAGAAAAGAAAGGTACCAACATTAAATTATGATACCTAGACAAATTCTCGAAATATTTACGGTTCAATTAAAGACTGAACCAAAATCGTTAATTATAATACGAACCATTATTGCGATTTTGTTATTTAGTTTATTAATTTGTTATGCATCTATTCAAATTAGTACGTGTTTGCCTAAAATTAGGAATTATGATGAATTAAAGCGATAGAATTTCAAAAATTTTTTAAATTTAATAGATAATGTTAAATCAGACAATCCCGTAATTGCATCTACACCAGCTCATTATGAAGAAAAATCAATTCCGTTGCCAAGTACGTCACAGGATATAAAGAGGCTCTTTATTTGATATACTTGTTAACCAAACTTTTTCCTTTCTAAATAGCTTTACATTTTACATTTGAATATCGGTTCACATTGACATGTCAAATAGTTGGTTGTATGTATTATATAATTTCATATCCAAATTTGGCGTGAAATTCTCTCGATTAATATTTTTTTCCCCTCCTTTTCAAAGCTATAACCAAATTTTCAACAAAAGAATGCGCGACACATTTACGACAACCGGAGTCAACAGTAAATTCCAACGGTGTTTACGAAGCGTTATTTAATGCAAATGGGTTAAATTTTACAAAAAAGGATATTGAAAAGTTTGAAGTTACAATTATAATGGATAATCCAGAAGAGATACCCGCGTCTAGTTTAGGTGTTGAAATGCGAGCTTTTGATTCTCGTAAATATATTAAAAAAAAAAAATTATATTATAATAATTATTTTTATTATTTTTATTTTAAAAAAAAAAATAAAAATAAATATTAAAAATATTAAATATTCCTTTTTTTTTTTTTATAAACTAATCGTCGGCTCGTGTAGAAGTACAAGATCCGCTGTTAATTAAAGATTACGAAGAGACCAATACTAACGTTATTGATCAACTTCTATCTTTAATTGACATGAATTTATATTTTCTGGCTTCTCAACAGGTAAGTAAATCAGACATTAGTACTTTAATTAAATGTAATTTCTCTCACCTGGAATCAATATATTAATTAGTATTATGAGTTGGAATTATCAAGAATTCGTAAGAACGTAATGGTGAAAAAATGGTGGAACATTTTAGGAATTCCATCAAGATATGTAGATGAGACGTATTTAAACTCCATATTAGAAAGTCGACCATACTCTCCATTTGATGAGTCTTTAGGTCTTTCTTATGCTACATTAGCGGTTGTTATGAGAACTTGGAGAGTTCCATTTGAACAAGAACAAATGTAAGTGATGCATTTTTTTTTTGAAAGGTTTTCTTTTTTAATTTAATTTAATTTATTTTTTTTAGTGAGAGAACGGTAAATAATATTGAAAATCGTTATTAAAAAATTTGGATAAAAATTAATAAATAATATTTATAAGTAGTTATTTGATACATTTGGTCAAATTGCCGGTGTAGCGGGAACATTATCACTCATCTATGTCTTCTTATTCGGTAATTAAATAAATATCATACATGAATTAATTTCTATTAAAAAAAAAAAAAATTAAATTTTAATTTTTTAGGTGTTGGACCAGGTGCAATTCGTTCGTGGGGAGTTATTCAAAGGATGAAATGTTTTGGTATCAAAAAGGGCGTCAAGAAACATATGAATCGTCGTTATCCAAGACTACCGTTTATTAAATCAGAAACCGATAAACCAGAAGACAATAATAACAAAGTTGATGAAGAAATAGGTGTATCAAATTCAATAACACCGATGAATCATGAAGAAGTTCAAATTGAAATCTTGGAAAGAATTGACGCTATAGAAAGATTTCTTAGAGAATTTGTGGTGGATGCAGAGTATCTACAAATGTTGGAGAATCATCGGCGTTAGATAGATGTCGTAATACTGGGTGGAATTATGAACGTGGTAGTTGCGTCACGTGTGAATTAATATAATTATTATGTAGCTTTTTTTTTTTTCATCTTTACTTTTTTATTTATTTATTTATTATTTTTTTTTTCTAAAAAAAAGTCAAATCCCAATTCATTTAAGTTGAATGATGTTCCAAATTACTTAAAATTACTGAAGGAAGCTAAATAAACATCATTGTCATGGAAAATCCCACGATCCCACCACACGGATTAAATAATTTGTTAAAAAAAAGTTTATTCTTAAATTCTTGCAGAACTTATTAAAAGAAATAGAATTGAATTCTTAATGATCATCTTACATCGCAATGCATCATAATCAGTTTTTCTATTTTAAAAATCAACTTTAACTTTAAACATCCAAGAAGGTTTTTTGAAATGAAAGAAAATTTTGTCATATGATCAGCGAACATTTCAGGAACGATAATGAGTAACCTTTTTTTATACTTTTCATTGAACCAAGCTTGGATAAAATCATTGTAAATTCTTTTAGGGGATTTCATACAAAAATAAATTGAAAAAAAGAAAATTCTTTCTCATTTCGATCACCAAATGAAGGGAACACAAAATAAGGTAAATTGTTCTCTTTGGTTCTAATTTCCTTATGTTATTGCATAATCTATTTCTGAAATTTTCTAGATAAGGGAATAGATTGTTTACTTTTGGTGTAATTTAATTCTTGTGTGAGAGTCAGCGATGCCTTATATGAAATTAATTATTTGTCCGCGAACCGGTTTTTTTTTTTTATAGCGAATGTACGCCAAAAAAACAACGCTTGAGTGATGTAAAAAAAAACTAAATTTAGAAATACGAATTCGTTCTGAACTATAAAAAATAACACGAAATATTTCTGCGGTACTTTACGCGTGATGTATTATTTATGACGTATAACGTTCGGTTTTATTTATAGGCTTTTTTTTTTTTTTTTTATGTTCTTGAGAACCTTGATGAATTGATGAAAAAAAGATTGTTACAGAGATTTTCCTTTAAGGGGCTGTCCTCCGAAATCATCCATGAAATTATCGATTTTCAATTTTTATTAAAAAAAAAAAAAAAAAATGTCTCAACAATGGGATGTGACTATAATGAAGGTTCCCGTGCATCATGTGTACATATAACTTTAATTCGTCGTTTGTCTTTTCGTTGATTGCGCAGTAGATGCAATCAATTAAGGTTTTATCTCCCATTATAAATCAATCCTCAAACAATACGTTCTACTTTCAGATGTTATTAAGTTACTTCCATTGGAAATCTCATAAAAGTTTCACGTTATCAACTTTTCAAAGTTCGTCGCTATTGAACAAATAAAAAACTTTGCTTTCCGTCTCTCGATTTAGTTAAAATAATGTTCAAACTACCGGAAACTTTCCATTAAACGGTAAATGTGAGCGAAAGAATTTAAAAAAATGTTTCAAGGGGGATTTTGTAAAGGTTTTGCGCTGCAGATCTTTCTTCCTTTATAAGTAATGTTTATCCTATCTAAGTAATACTCTTGTTTCATCGACCACATTACGTTTCACTTTTTGATTACAAAAGTTTGAATAAAGACGAACTATTTGCTTTGGGAATCTGAGATTCAAAGCAAATAACCAATATAAATTCAACATGCAAAAAATGCAATCTTGATCATGTAGCTAATTAATTTATTCCCTTTAATGTCAAAAATCTCTTTTTTTTTTTTTTTTTTTTTTCATTTTCGAATAGAATTTTTTTTGTTTATATCTCTTTGATATTCTATTAAGTTTCAACCCCTGTTTTTTGTTTTGATTATTAATTTTTTTTTTTTTTCCTTGTGGTAAATAGTTTCAAACGATGAAATCTCAACGTGTATAGGTTTTTATTTGCTTTGGTCTTTGTATGAAAAAGGGGGATATAATTTTTTCTCGTGTGTTGTATTGTTTATGCGTTTTGATAATTACGCGCATCCATATACTTGTTTCAAAAAGAAATTGGTTGTTAACAAAACGAGTAAAGTCCGATTCTTAGCAATTATCCTATTTAGATTTTTTAAATTTAAAACTTATTCCTTTAAGTGTTAAGTTCGTTTTATTTAAATATAAAAGGTATACAATGAAAAAGTCATAAAGGATTCTTGTAACACCCGATGATGATTTTTTTGTAATATGTCAAGGAAATAATTTAACAATCAAAAGTAAACAATATTAACGAAATTTGGATTACAAAAATAATTGAAAAACGTGAAGGGTGCGTCCCATCAAGATTTCCTAGAAAGTTCGAAAAATTATCTAAAAACAAAAAATTTTCAATGCATGAAATATAGCACGAATTATTTATTTGTCACCTTTTTTATCTTTTTATTTTTATTTTTAAAAAAAAAGGTTTTGATCTACATAAAAGGTAACCACTGGGGCTATTGTTGGAAACCATTATGTTTTTAAAAAAAGAATCGAATGATTCTAAAAAAATAATTTCAGTTATTTTATTTTTTTTAAAAAAATTCTTGGCTCTCTGCGATTAAAAATTACGCATATGTTTATTCGGAAGTTCGTGAACCATCGTTTTCGAAAAAAAAAAAAAAAAAATACACGCACAAGCGATGCCTCTTGCTTTCGCTCTCCCTAGTTACAAGGTAAAGCTCGTAACATGTCACATATGCAATTTTAAACGGTGCATCTCTCGACTCCAAATTACATGCAACTTTTCATTTGTTTGTATTTCGTAATTCAAGGGTTGAATGTTAATTATCTTGGTGCACCATTATCATCTAAGCAGATAAACAAATGGAAGTATGTTACCCTGTTGTCTTTGTGAGACCAATTCTGGGTAGAAGCTTAAAACTCAAAGTAACCCTGTTCGGACATGGTGACACAGTTTCGCAAGTTCTTTTTTTTTAGGGTACGATGGGTCAATTAGGCGAATGGGAGAATTTGAGGGTTTTGAAGTGAAACACGTGATCAACAAGCTCGTGGCTTTCTTACCCCCATGGCTGATTTTGGTAAAATGAAGTTTAATCCAACTCTTTCTGGAAGGTCAAAAAGGAAAAAAACAAATTTTGACAAGCCCTCCGCCAAAAGTGACATTTTGCTATGCTCTTGTTTGTTGACGTTGCCACATCAATAAATGACTCCGCAATTTCGATGCCGGGAAAATGGCATTTCTCATTATTCAACCACCGGATCACAAACCTGAAATGATCTTGGTAATAATTTAAATAATGCACTAAAAAAAAAAAAAAAAAAAAAAAAAAATAATAATTATTAATAATTACGAAATTTGAATGAAACACCATATATATCCCTAACTATAATGGGATGCAGATCCGTGAACCTTGCATACATGTATGCCGGTTTATTTTTATGAAAAAAAAAAAACTTATTAGTTTTCCATTTTTTGTTACGTCAAAAAGGAATTTCCATAAACCCCGTTCCTAACTTATTTCTTACATCAAGGAAAAAATTTAATTTCTATTATTAATAATAATAAAAATTTATTATCATTATCATTATATTATGTTATATTTTTAAACCTCGCCTTTTAATTTTCTTTCCTTTTTCTTCTGAACAAAAAGACCAAAATATAATTACGTCAATAAGATGACATTTTGACATCTATTCATAGGTCACCTTTTTTAAAAGTGGCAGGATTTATTTTTGGTGTATGTAATATGTAATACGCATGTATCATGACAAAATCACTACTTTGCTTTCTTTCAGAGCAGAGAATGCACAGGATTTGAGCTACCTTAAATTTTCTCGTGTGCTCATTTCAACATCAAAAAAGAATTTTTAAATAAATGCTGTGTTAACGCCCTGGCTTTGCGTGTGAAACCATGAATTTTTCACAGGTTCATTCTTATTGATTGATATTTTTTTTTTTATTTTTGTAAAATAATGGTGAATGATAATATCTATAATTAAAGATGCTGTGACAGGCAGATTTTGTTTATTTAATTTAAATTAATCTTGCTCTCTTTTTTCTATTGGACGATGGGGTTTGAGGGATTTTTTTAACTCGTACAATTTATTCATTTCCTCGCTTTCTTTTTAATTGTGGTGGTGAAGGCGGAAAGATGAAGGGAAGCATAGGTAAAGCAAGGGCAAAGCAATCGAGCAAAGAAGAAGAAGAAAAAAAAAAATCATGGCATGCCTTACCGATTACCAGTTACGCGGATCAAAAAACTAACCCTTCCCCCCCTTTCAAAGAACAATCATTAATTAAATGTGGTGGCTCTAATGAAAGTTTACGGGATTTACGTTTCCGGTAAAATTGTTACTTATCAAAGCAATCATGGATGTCGGTTTGACAAAATAAACAAAGCATCGAAGAATTGAAAAAAAAAAAAAAACCACCATCGCGGATTACTCTCGGGGTCTCCGAACCATGAAGGAATCTATTTTTAATCAAGATCACCTGATCAAAAGACCCCATCAGCAATTGGGAAATTTCATTTCCCCCCCTAATGAAACAAGTTTTTGGCTTATTGTATAACTTCCCGTTTGGAGTAAACATCGACATCGGCAATGGGTGCACCGCCTCCTTTTTGATCCTGGTTTGATCCGCAGTTCGTTGGAATGAAAAGTTCCGAATATCAATTTATTTCAGATCTTTGTATTGCTTTATCCCTGCTTTGTTGTTTACTTTGGCGTCTAAATTAAAATTTTCATTTATATTGTTTTAATACCCGGAAAGATTTTTTCATTCCTTTTATGCCACTATATCTCATGCTTTATAGTAAACATAATAATATTATATATTATATATAAACTACAACAATATAAATTAAAAATTTTAAATTGAATCAAACCCTATTTAGCGCCTCACATAAAAAAAATGTCTTCCGTGTTTTTAGAATAACTCTTCCCACACACAAAAATAAAAATATTTTAAAAAAAATAATACATTTACATAGAGGAAATTTCCATATATGATTAGACCTTTCTATATTCAGAGATTAAATTATTTGAAAATAATGAGTTCAATCATGATGATTTTTTTTTTTTTTTTCGGTTCATTCGAGATATATAAATATGCGGGTTCTCGACGTGCCTTTCATTTTTTTTTTTTCCTCTCATATCATATTAATTTCTTTACGACTTTTTTATTAAAAAAAAAAAATAATTTCACGTCCACAAAAAAAAAAAAAAAAATTTTTTTCGAATTTTTTTTTTTGCATTGCCCTTTGCTTTTGCTTAATTGGTTATATTATTCCTTTTTGAATCCTTCAAAAAAAAAAAAAAAAAAAATTATAATTCTTTCAGTATATAAAGTTTCGGTTTTTCTTTTTTCACGATAAAAATAAAAACAACTATTAATTAAATTAATGATGTCTACCTTAAACAAGTCACTCATCATCTTGGCAGTTTTGGCCGCTTATATCGCAGTGTCGGTATTTGCTGTACCTGAAAGGACCCCCAGTGATCAGGTCTGCCAACTATCCAAAAAACCACCGGCAGATGGAACTCAAAACCGTAACGGTTCATGTGTCCAAACAGTTTTGGGAGAAATTCCAGATGTTGACCACATGATTTCAACCTTAATCCGCTTCCCGGTGAATAACGATGTTATCTGCGAAAACGAAGCATTCACGTTGCAGACCGAAACGATCAATTTGCTCACCGGATTCTTTGACGATCCCGTAAATGAATATTATATCTTCCCACAAACCCTTAATGACGACTCGGGAATTATTCAAGGACATTCTCACATAACTGTTCAAAAACTTAACGGCAACGATATTCCTGATCCAAGAATTTTCGCTTTCTTCAAAGGTTTGAACGACGTAGCAGTTAACGGAATCTTATCAGTATTAGTCGAAAAAGGTTTACCAGCTGGAAATTACCGTGCTTGCACCATGGTTTCTTCATTCGCTCATCAATGTGTCTTGATGCCTGTTGCTCAACGAGGTAATTATCGATCTTTCTTTTGATTTCAATTTAACCTTGGTTTTGAAAAAAAAAATTAATCGTTCATTTTATTCTTTTTTTCTTTTTATTAAAATAAAATTCTAAAGGCTCGCAAGATGACTGCGTTAGATTTAAGGTTGTAAAGAGAAGAGAATACGAAAATAATTGTCGAGTAAATTAGAGAAAAAAAAAAAAAAAGGTCCAAAAAATATCCGTCACCTCTAATATTTCACGTGACTTAATTGAGTAAAGCCTGGACTTTTTTTAATATTATTTTTTTGTAGTATTACTTTATTTATGTAAATGTAAATTATTTTTATAAAAGGTTATCTTCACTTTCACGTACCCTCTAGATATAGTAGATATATATATATATATAGTATTTCTTCTTTTTTTTTTTTTTTTATGGCTTGGATCTTAATAATATTTTATTACTGCACTTTATCATCCATTTTTATAAAAGAATAAAAAGAAAATTTTATCCTTTGTTTTTTTTTTACAAACAAAGAAAAAAAGAAAAACAAAAGAAATAATTATATTACCGCTGTTAGTCATTTTCGTTAAAAAATTATTTACATTAATAATTAATAAAACAACTTGGATCACATTTTATTTAAACTTAATTTTTTTTTATCCGTTCATCCATTGACCTTTAAATGTGGTTTCTTATATTCGATTGTTTTATTTGCTAATGTTATCGAGTAAATGGGCTCTAACGCGTCGTGTCAATAACATTTCTTCACGATTCCGACATAGGCGGAATGATCTTTTGTTTTGCTCGAATTAATTGTTAAACGGCCAATTATTCAAACCTAAGAAAAAAAAAAAAAAAAAAAAAAAAAAAAATGGCAATTTTTTAAAATTATCATTGGGTAGAAACGACAAATTCACGGGACTTTCAGAAAATTCTTTTGTCCATCTAAATTTCGTCACCTGCCACTTGATCAAAAAGTGAAAGTTCGACACTATGAAGAGCCCGGAATATTTCCCCATAGGTGCAAAACAAATATATTAAAGTACCGCGATTTATAAGGAAAATTTTCTTTTTGAGATTTTGGGAAATCAAAATATTATCTTTTTTGGGGATAACTCTGGCCAGCATTATATTACACATCGAATTTCAATAAATTTCATAAAAGTCTCTCCAGGTTAGAATTACTCTTAAACACTTTATTATTTGCATTTCAATATTTCTAATGGATTTTTCGTCGGATATTTAACGTGCAACCTGGGAAAGTTTCTCGGTGAAAAGTTTGGCAACGTTAGACCATATCCACCACCACTTTTATCATTTAATTCAATAGATAATATGGTCCAATCAAATACACCATTAACATTTGATAAACAAGAAAGTTTTCTCACACCACTTTTGCTCCATACACTAAACATTTCGTTGTTCGATTCATCCCACTCTTCTCTTGATTTATTCAAATCCTTCTTGAACAGATCAATATATTCATTGATCGAAGTATTTTTGCAACAAAACAACCGATAGGATGTGCGGTATAAGAATGACCGTGAAGTAAGGCATCAACTTTAGTATCGCCAAGAAATTTGTTAAATATCTGTTCATTCGTCAAAGTAACCGCCAAAGGACATAATCCGCCGGTTAATAACTTTGCGTAAGCCGCGATGTCTGGATTCACGTTTAAATATTCGGCACCGGATTTTCTACCCAATCGCCAAAATCCTGTGAATACTTCATCAAATATTATAGGAATATTGAGCATCGAACGAACCGATTTAATCAATTGATTTTGATATAATGGATCAACGAATATCATTCCTCCCGTACCCATCACTATTGGTTCCATGATTAACGCTCCAAATTTGTTTCCTTGATTCACATGATCAAGTATTCGTTTTTCGATATTTTGCTTGTAATGATATGATAATCCATCCTTTTCGATTCGACTCTCGCTAAATATCTCTGATAATGAATCAAACCTACCAATTTCATCACCGTTGGTAATTTTTATTCTGTATATATTATCTTTCATTAATATCTGTGGAGGGGCAAACCAAACACCTTTCGGAGAATACCAATTCACGCGCTTATTATAAATACTAGGAATACTCGCGTTCATCACTCCAATCGTATCTCCATGATAACTTCCTTCCAAATTCTTTTCGGTTAATGTCATCTTTAATGCAACTTCCATGGCGGTACTCCCATTATCAGAATAAAATACCCTGTTGGCCCAATTTTTCCCTACCCCATCAAGCAAAGATTCCGATAATGATAATGAATCGATTCGGGAAATAATATGTGACCGTATCTACCTGATGCATACGATGCCGTTAATGTTAATTTAGAATTTCCATGACCCAACCCTTGCGTCCACCAACTTGCGGACCCATCAAATGTCTCTCCTAGATTAGAATCATCATTGTAACTTATTAATAAATCTTTATACGCGGAATCAATCACTTAACCCATCAACTTTATCGTGTTGGTGAATGGTCATCTAACCATTTCTTTGGCTTTCTCCTCCATTTCATCCAGTCTATTAAATCTATTGTCATGCCATTCCTCCAATGTACTAAACTTTTCATCATTTGAATCAAAATATGCCTCGAACCCTTTGATATCTGATAAATCATTTTCCGATTTTGGTGGTGGTAATGAAATGGAAATATTTTAGGCGTGATAATAGACGAATTTTGATTTTTCAAAAGATATATATGATTTCACAAATCGTAAATCATTTTCTTTTGGATATTCTGAATTGGTTTTAAATAATAATGATTTTTGTACCTTTGGGATTTTAATACTGACGCTCTTATCAATCCTTTCAAAATATTGTTTTCCCTAAATTTGTGTTTGATGAAAATATTTGATAAATTTTGAAATTTTCTCATCGGAAAATAATTATATACCATTTTTCAAGAAAAAAAAAAAAAAAATAGTCTAAAATAGTCTAAATTTGTCTAAACTGACTAACGTTATAAAAATAAAAGATGATACAAATTTGGAAATTTCACGTAATCCAAACAGGAGGTGATGAATATATAAGGGAGTTGAGGTGATAAATGTCACATGACGCGATTAAAGTAGTTATTCAAATTTATATTTAGATGATCAACAATAATGATAACTTGTTTGTTCTTTCGTCCTTCAGCAACACGAAAAAAAAAAAAATCAATGGAATCTCCAGATAGTTCATTTCAAATGGAAAATGAATATGAAGTCGAAAAAATATTAGATCAAAAGGTTATAAATGGGGATATTTGCTTTGAAATAAAATGGAAAGGTTATGGTCCTGAGTACAACACTTGGGAACCACATCATAATCTTAATTGTCCTGAATTATTAGACAATTTTGTACATGAATATCATCTTAAAAATAAAAAAAGAACGTTGGAAAAAAGTCGTAATTTTCAACGTAATTCAAATACATCCACCATTACTAAAAACGGAACTACTTCTACACAAGTAAACAAAAAAGAGGGTAAAAAAATCACCACCACTGGTATTAAAGAAACACGGATACAAAGAAGTAATTTGGTAGAAAATTTTAATAAAAGTAATAACGGTAATGGGGTAAAAAAACCATTGACATTGATTGAAAAATTCAGCCAGCAATCACAATTTACACAATTAACTTCTAATAAAGGACCTCGATCTGTGGCACCATTTCAATCACCCAAAGCTTTTGAATTTGAAAGATTTCTTAGGCGCGCTATTAAAAATGGACCTCCAATTTCTGTGATAAATGACATTGATGACGCCGGAATACCACCAAATTTTACATACATTGAAAATTACATTTATGGTGAAGGTGTTCCATGTCAAGCTGACCTTATTGAACGATTAGTGGGATGTCAATGTAGAATGGGATATTGTACAGCTAAATCGTGTTCATGTTTCACGGAACATACGGGAGGGAGATTAAATTATGACCGAACGACATTTCAAGTAGTGTTAAAACCTGGAAATATCATTTATGAATGTAACTCCAAATGTAACTGCCTTTCTAATTGTATCAATCGAGTTTCTCAAAGAAAATCAAATTTGGATCTGGTAATTAAAAGGATTCCTAAAAAAGGTTGGGGTGTGGTTACAAAGAGAAAAATTCCTGAACGTATGTTTGTAACATATTATTATGGAGAAGTAATAAAATCAACTGAAGCTGAAAAACGTGGATCTCAGTATGATACAAAAGGATTAACTTATCTTTTTGATCTGGATTATAATGCTGAAGATCATGATGAATGTGCTTATACTGTAGATGCTACAAACTTTGGAAATTTCTCTCGTTTTTTTAATCATTCTTGTGATCCTAATTTGGTGGTTTATCCTCTTATCAATGATAATGCTGATATTAGATTACATCACATTGCTTTCTTTACTATTAAAGAAATTCAAATTGGTGAAGAATTAACTTTTAATTACTTTGGAAATTTTCATCATGAAGTAGAAGGTGGATTAAATAAAATTAAAGAAAAATATATCTGTAAATGTGATGCTACAAGTTGTATTGGATATTTTCATGAATAATTAATTATAGGTATAGATTTATGGTTTATAAAGATTTAATCACTAATAACAAAATAATAAAAATAATGCATACCAATCTTACTTGGATAAAAAGAATATTAATTTGCAAATAATCTTTACATTAATTATATTATGTAAAAAAAAAAAAAAAAAATTTGAAATATATATTTAAGAAACAATTTAAGCAGGAAAAAAAAACTTTAATAAAAAACTTTATTGAGATTATTTTACAATATATCAAGTAAATAACAAATAAAAGAAATGTTAAATATTGGTTTTAAACCTTTTTTTTTTTGAATGTTTATTTGCTATATCAACATTCTGAAAATTATTCAAGGATTTTTCCTTTTGATGTTGATTATTTAACATCTTCATTTGTTTTTGTTTTAATTTCTTTTCAAGTCTTTGGTTTTTAGCTTGTTCTTTATTTACTGATGCAGTTGTTATAAGTTGCTTAATCTGTGTGAGAACATAATCAAAACCAATTGATTGTGTTGAAGTAGGTTCAATTTTAATTTTTGGTTGTTGTTTAAAAAAGAAAATGGATGGTGATTTTGTTGTATGTAAAGAAGTAGCAATTTCAACCTCCACTTTTGTTTAATCATATTACTGGATAGTGATGAAGTTGTTTCTTTTTCCAATTCCTCTTCATCTTTAGTAATTTTTCGTTTCTTTAACAAATTTTCTGATGGTTTAAGTGGATTTAACCAAGATACATCTATGGGTTTAACTT